TCTTTATGGTGGAAGGGAAGCAGGAAGAGAAGGAGGGCAAATAGTGCTACGTGGCCTCCCTGACCTGGGGGAATTACTGCAGCTGTTTCATGAGGGGGCATGGGCAGGAAGGTAGCAGGGAACAGGGGAGGTTACCTAGTGTGACTGTCTCCTGGGGATGTGCCATCCAGGGTCTACAGCATTAGTCCAACAGACTCTCTAATCTATGGAGGAGACGTGGGCAGCGAGGAGAAAGGGAGTAGGGAGGAGGAGAAGGACCATCTCCAGGCTCGGCCCACAGGAGAAAACTGATACAAAGTAATTTCAGTACCGTAATATCTGCTTGGGAAATTACAAAAACAGGAAATTTCGGAGAACTAGAAGATTTGAAGAAATGGATTGCGTATATACCGAGACAATTGTGAAGGTTAAGACAATATTCAACAAATTCTATATTTTGGTTCAAATAGATTTCAATTACACATCAATAAAAGAATAACAACTCAAAAGTAAAAAATTTATAAATTATAATACCAAGTTGACTGACATAAAATATTTCAGAATCATAAGAATATACTTCAAAGAATCCTGCTCCCTACACAGATTGGCAAAAGAATGAGAATGCAGAAAAATCATGTCATGTACTCTCATTAAAAGAGTTGGTGTGCTAAATATCACCAAGCATTTGGCCTGTGATTTAGAATAGTTCAGGGAGTTGTTGAGAAGCGTTGTAAGGATTGTAGGCCCAAGTGCTTGATTAATCAGATCAAAAGCTCTTCAAAATATCATATAGAGATTCTTTTTCTCTGGCTTTTCCGGCTCATCAGAATAATGCAGAAAATTAACTGAATCTATAACTCATTATCATGTGGAAACCTTACGTCAACTGTCAAATGTTAATTTCAACACAAGCAGGAAGGGATTATCATGTCGTTAATGCTGTCGATGCCTCAGAGTGTCCACCAGCACATTCACATCTGCTGTGATCACTACAGTCTCTGAGACAGCCAAGCCCTGGAGCTACTTTACAGCAGGAGGCCATGTTCATAGGGCCTCCCACTGCTGAAGAAAACCAGCCCAGCCCTGACCCTGCTGCTCTGCAGAGGAGCCCAGCCCTGGATGTCCAGCTGTTCCCACTTGGTGAATAGGCTTGAGAACAGACAGCTCACGCTGTAGCTGGCACTGGGCTGGGTTTGCTGTTTCAAAAGATGACTTATGGAGAACAAGAGATACTGAGTGTGAGTGGACATGAGTGGAATAAACAGTCAACATATTTGACAGGCTTCATAAGCAAAATGCTTCTGTGTTTACAGGTGTCCCGTGTGAAGTGCAGTTGGTGGAGTCCAGGGGAGGCTTGGTGCAGCCTAGTGGGTCCCTTCCCTGAAACTCTCCTGTGCGGCCTCAGGATTCACCCTCCGTAATTAACGCATGAGGTGGGTCTGCCAGGCTCCGAGAAAGGGGCAGGAGTGGGACATAGACATTAATTGTGATGGTGGTAGCACGTAGTAAGTGGACTCTGTGAAGGTCCGATTCACTGTCTCTAGAGACAAAGGTAAGAACATGCTGTTTGAGAAAATGACCAGCCTGAGAAACAAGGACACGTCCGTGTATTACTGTGCAAGAGACAGAGTTAGGGGACCTCAGTGCGAGCCCCGATATGAACATCCCCGCAGGGGTGCACACACCAGGCAGGGGAAGCTCAAGACATACAGTACACTGAGAGTACTGTACCATCGAAGGGAATAATAAAGGGTGGAGAGAAGAGGACAAGGGGCTGGGTCTCTTCAATAAGGAAGTGGTCCAAGGGCAAAGGGCCAGGAGGAGGGGAAAGAGACATAAGTAGAATAAAGTTATGTCATGTTTAAGAACATTGTAATTTCAATTAATGTGAACATTATATGCCATAGGATGAGCTAAGGAAAATTAAAAATGGCAACAAGAATGAAAAATGGAACAGTGAAATTGGAGGAGGGTGAACAGAGGGGGAGCGAAGCAGAAGGGTATTTAGAAAAGGAAACAAGCTGTAGTGTGTGCATGGTACCGTTCCCCGAGATGATTATAAAGTGCACGAACTTCAATATGTAGTCATAAAATTTAAAAATTAATAAAACGAGGCAAAAGGATGTTTCCTGTCAGGATCTGGGCCTTCTCCATATCACACTTGTCCCTGATACTTCCATTGCATGGCTCTACCCATACTTTGAGGACTCAGAAAAGGTTTTGTTGTTGCTGTTCCTTGGATAGGAGAACATTTCCTCAGTTGTGCAGAGCTCAGGATAACTTGTGTGAGAATGACTCTGCTGTGTTCATCTGGCCCAGATCCTGGCCCGGGTCTGGGGAATCCGTTAAAGTCTAAATAAACATTGAAATCTAGGGTGAGGAGAAGTCAGTGTGAGCACAGGCACAAATCTCCCTTCGGGGTGATCAGGGATCACAGACCACACTCTTTATAGTGCAGGGATGTTCAGTCCCTTCGGAGGGTGCGGAGGAAATCTGTGATCAAGAGGCTCAGAACCCAGCCCTTCCAGGGTCCTAGTATGGAGCAGTTACACTCGGACCAGCTGAGATCCTCGGTCCTCCTTAGTTTTCATCCTCCCGTGACTCATTACCATTTCAAATCTAATGAAGTCATTCACGTATCAATAATTTTATCAATTAAAAATCCAAAGTCAATCTGCAGATTGCACAGACCGTGTATGTCCATGGTGTGCATTAGAAGAACACTCTGCAAGTGTACCAAGTCCAAGCACTGTGGCCATGGAAGCCTTCATCTGACCTCAAAGCAGACCTGGACATCTGCAGGCTCAGGCAGCAACCTCTGCAGAAGGCAGAAGCTGCAGAGAACCTTCAAAAACGCAATGGCAGCACAAGTGTGGGGTGAGAGCCTCCAAGAGAGGTGCCCAAGAGCTGTATGCATGGCTCTATTTGCAAACATTGGGAAATTAATCAGCATTAATATCCAAGAATGCTGACTCACATAGACATGTGTTGAGATTTTAAACAAATATTTGAGTTAAGCATGATCAAGTTAGATGGTGTGTGCTCTTTATGTAAATGTTGAAATAGAAAAAATAGTGTAAAGCAACATGAAGGTCATGAGCTGCCTGGAGATAGGATGCAGGAGGGAAGCAGCAGGAGGGAGGGATGGCAGAGGAGCCCCAGGAAACACTGCAGGATGACACGTGTGTTCCCTGCTCTGTCCGTGTGTGTGCTTGTGGAAGAGCCCTTGTGTGTTAATACTTCTCAGGTGCACACTTCATAAATGGGCAGTTTATGTGTTCTATCTGATGAACATGTCACGGATAAACTATCTCTAAATATAGATAAAGAGTGAGCGAGTTTATGACAGTGGAAAATGAGAGATTCACAGACAGGCATCCACATGAACACTGGCTCTGTTTCATCTCAGCAAACAGCAAAACTCAGCAAAGTCACACGTACTCTCTGCACAGGATGAGGGGAACAGCAACATCACCAGGTGCCCCTCTCTGTCCAGGACCTGGAACAGGAAGCAGTTTGTTCACAAATTTGGAGAGCCTAGGCCCAGATAGTGTGGAGAACATTTGCAGGGCATCGCCTTTGCTATAGAAGAGGAAACTGTGTCCCACACTTCCATAATTTTACATGAATTTTACTTTCATAATTTTCCAAGCAGACAAATTTAATAGAAAGATGCATGCTATGTGTAGAAGACAAATACAAGTAGATAAAGAGATAATTTCAATACATTATCTCATAATGTGATTTCCTATTATAGTAAATGAATTCATTGGTACCAAACTATCCCAGCACACTCTCACTGGAAGTGGGCACTGCCCTCATGAGTTATCCATCCCCAGTGCTGTCTATATAGCAGGAGGTCATGCAAATAGGGCCTCACTGTGCTGTTAAAAAACAGCCCAGCCCTGACCCGGCAGCTCTGCAGAGAGCCCAGCCCTGGATGCCCAGGTCCTCCCACTTGGTGATCAGGACTGAACACAGGCAGTGCAACATGGACCTTACCATGTGTTGGGTTTTCCTGTTCGTAATTTTGAAAGGTAAATTATTTAGAGCAAAAGATACCGAGGGTGTGATTGTACACAGTGGACGTGTGTGACAGTTTCCTGATCAAGATGTCTCTGTGTTTGCAGGTGTCCAAGCAGAGGTGCAGCTGGTGGAGTCCGGGGGAGGCTTGGTGGCACCTGGGGGGTCCCTGAAACTCTCCTGTTTGGCTTCGGGATTCACCTTCAGTAACTACTGGATGGGTTGGGTCCGCCAGGCTCCAGGGAAGGGGCTGGAGTGGATCTCATCCATCAATTCTAACGGTGGTAGCACATACTACGCGGACTCTGTAAATGCTCTGCAGAGGAGCCCAGCCCTGGATGTCCAGCTGTTCCCACTTGGTGAATAGGCTTGAGAACAGACAGCTCACGCTGTAGCTGGCACTGGGCTGGGTTTGCTGTTTCAAAAGATGACTTATGGAGAACAAGAGATACTGAGTGTGAGTGGACATGAGTGGAATAAACAGTCAACATATTTGACAGCTTCATAAGCAAAATGCTTCTGTGTTTACAGGTGTCCCGTGTGAAGTGCAGTTGGTGGAGTCCAGGGGAGGCTTGGTGCAGCCTAGTGGGTCCCTTCCCTGAAACTCTCCTGTGCGGCCTCAGGATTCACCCTCCGTAATTAACGCATGAGGTGGGTCTGCCAGGCTCCGAGAAAGGGGCAGGAGTGGGACATAGACATTAATTGTGATGGTGGTAGCACGTAGTAAGTGGACTCTGTGAAGGTCCGATTCACTGTCTCTAGAGACAAAGGTAAGAACATGCTGTTTGAGAAAATGACCAGCCTGAGAAACAAGGACACGTCCGTGTATTACTGTGCAAGAGACAGAGTTAGGGGACCTCAGTGCGAGCCCCGATATGAACATCCCCGCAGGGGTGCACACACCAGGCAGGGGAAGCTCAAGACATACAGTACACTGAGAGTACTGTACCATCGAAGGGAATAATAAAGGGTGGAGAGAAGAGGACAAGGGGCTGGGTCTCTTCAATAAGGAAGTGGTCCAAGGGCAAAGGGCCAGGAGGAGGGGAAAGAGACATAAGTAGAATAAAGTTATGTCATGTTTAAGAACATTGTAATTTCAATTAATGTGAACATTATATGCCATAGGATGAGCTAAGGAAAATTAAAAATGGCAACAAGAATGAAAAATGGAACAGTGAAATTGGAGGAGGGTGAACAGAGGGGGAGCGAAGCAGAAGGGTATTTAGAAAAGGAAACAAGCTGTAGTGTGTGCATGGTACCGTTCCCCGAGATGATTATAAAGTGCACGAACTTCAATATGTAGTCATAAAATTTAAAAATTAATAAAACGAGGCAAAAGGATGTTTCCTGTCAGGATCTGGGCCTTCTCCATATCACACTTGTCCCTGATACTTCCATTGCATGGCTCTACCCATACTTTGAGGACTCAGAAAAGGTTTTGTTGTTGCTGTTCCTTGGATAGGAGAACATTTCCTCAGTTGTGCAGAGCTCAGGATAACTTGTGTGAGAATGACTCTGCTGTGTTCATCTGGCCCAGATCCTGGCCCGGGTCTGGGGAATCCGTTAAAGTCTAAATAAACATTGAAATCTAGGGTGAGGAGAAGTCAGTGTGAGCACAGGCACAAATCTCCCTTCGGGGTGATCAGGGATCACAGACCACACTCTTTATAGTGCAGGGATGTTCAGTCCCTTCGGAGGGTGCGGAGGAAATCTGTGATCAAGAGGCTCAGAACCCAGCCCTTCCAGGGTCCTAGTATGGAGCAGTTACACTCGGACCAGCTGAGATCCTCGGTCCTCCTTAGTTTTCATCCTCCCGTGACTCATTACCATTTCAAATCTAATGAAGTCATTCACGTATCAATAATTTTATCAATTAAAAATCCAAAGTCAATCTGCAGATTGCACAGACCGTGTATGTCCATGGTGTGCATTAGAAGAACACTCTGCAAGTGTACCAAGTCCAAGCACTGTGGCCATGGAAGCCTTCATCTGACCTCAAAGCAGACCTGGACATCTGCAGGCTCAGGCAGCAACCTCTGCAGAAGGCAGAAGCTGCAGAGAACCTTCAAAAACGCAATGGCAGCACAAGTGTGGGGTGAGAGCCTCCAAGAGAGGTGCCCAAGAGCTGTATGCATGGCTCTATTTGCAAACATTGGGAAATTAATCAGCATTAATATCCAAGAATGCTGACTCACATAGACATGTGTTGAGATTTTAAACAAATATTTGAGTTAAGCATGATCAAGTTAGATGGTGTGTGCTCTTTATGTAAATGTTGAAATAGAAAAAATAGTGTAAAGCAACATGAAGGTCATGAGCTGCCTGGAGATAGGATGCAGGAGGGAAGCAGCAGGAGGGAGGGATGGCAGAGGAGCCCCAGGAAACACTGCAGGATGACACGTGTGTTCCCTGCTCTGTCCGTGTGTGTGCTTGTGGAAGAGCCCTTGTGTGTTAATACTTCTCAGGTGCACACTTCATAAATGGGCAGTTTATGTGTTCTATCTGATGAACATGTCACGGATAAACTATCTCTAAATATAGATAAAGAGTGAGCGAGTTTATGACAGTGGAAAATGAGAGATTCACAGACAGGCATCCACATGAACACTGGCTCTGTTTCATCTCAGCAAACAGCAAAACTCAGCAAAGTCACACGTACTCTCTGCACAGGATGAGGGGAACAGCAACATCACCAGGTGCCCCTCTCTGTCCAGGACCTGGAACAGGAAGCAGTTTGTTCACAAATTTGGAGAGCCTAGGCCCAGATAGTGTGGAGAACATTTGCAGGGCATCGCCTTTGCTATAGAAGAGGAAACTGTGTCCCACACTTCCATAATTTTACATGAATTTTACTTTCATAATTTTCCAAGCAGACAAATTTAATAGAAAGATGCATGCTATGTGTAGAAGACAAATACAAGTAGATAAAGAGATAATTTCAATACATTATCTCATAATGTGATTTCCTATTATAGTAAATGAATTCATTGGTACCAAACTATCCCAGCACACTCTCACTGGAAGTGGGCACTGCCCTCATGAGTTATCCATCCCCAGTGCTGTCTATATAGCAGGAGGTCATGCAAATAGGGCCTCACTGTGCTGTTAAAAAACAGCCCAGCCCTGACCCGGCAGCTCTGCAGAGAGCCCAGCCCTGGATGCCCAGGTCCTCCCACTTGGTGATCAGGACTGAACACAGGCAGTGCAACATGGACCTTACCATGTGTTGGGTTTTCCTGTTCGTAATTTTGAAAGGTAAATTATTTAGAGCAAAAGATACCGAGGGTGTGATTGTACACAGTGGACGTGTGTGACAGTTTCCTGATCAAGATGTCTCTGTGTTTGCAGGTGTCCAAGCAGAGGTGCAGCTGGTGGAGTCCGGGGGAGGCTTGGTGGCACCTGGGGGGTCCCTGAAACTCTCCTGTTTGGCTTCGGGATTCACCTTCAGTAACTACTGGATGGGTTGGGTCCGCCAGGCTCCAGGGAAGGGGCTGGAGTGGATCTCATCCATCAATTCTAACGGTGGTAGCACATACTACGCGGACTCTGTAAAGGGCCGATTCACCATCTCCAGAGAAAACGGCAAGAACACGCTGTATCTGGAAATGAGCAGCCTGAGAACCGAGGACACGGCCGTGTATTACTGTGCAAGAGACACAGTGAGGGGACCTCAGTGTGCGCCCAGACACAAACCTCCCTGCAGGGGCGCTCTAGTCCAGCAGGGGTCACTGTGGTCCATGGAGAACCAGACAGGGCCCCAGGAGCAGTTGCAGAGAAGGCAGCAGAGTCGGGGGCGGGGGGGACTTCCTGTTGGCCTCTGGGGTTTCCCTTCCGTATTAACATCACACGACCTGAGCAAACCTTGAAATGCATGAGCTGCAATTTAGTATCCAAGTATAAGTGAACATTCCGTTAATATTGTTGAAGTGTGGAGTTGTATATCTAACTTGCACTTGATGGGGAAACCCTGGTCCCTGGTGTGATGACCTCAAACACTGCAAACATGATCTGAAGTAAAGTGGAAACTTTGTCAATTGCATTTTCTTTTCAGTGTCAACTCATCATCATAAAAAATTGTATCTGCTAATTTATTCTCAAGTGTGAGGAATTGTCTCATACAAGAATACATGATATAGATTAAGGAATGAAATCCTTCCCAACCCAATTGACAGAGTCTGAAAACACCCAGCTCTCTCTTCTATCCTTGGCCACCTCAGGATGTCTGGTCCTCAGGCTCAGCCCCAGCACCTTGTGGAGTCCCGTGCTCAGGGAGGAGAGAAGAGAGAAACTGGGCTGGACTCAGGGCAGAGTCCAAGGGCTTTGCTGTGCTCTTCCGGTCCAAGGGCGTGGAGCAGGGTTGGGCCTACTCTTCTCTTTTGGACTTTAGAAATTGTAACAATTTTAAAACACAGTGTAAGAATACTCCCTCTAAATGTTCTGTCTCTCTCCCTCTCTCTGTCTCTCTCCTCTTTCTTTCTCATCTCTCATCACTAGGATTCAATCTATATATCAGTAAAAGGTGAAGAATACATGAGGGAAAGTGTTCAAGTACGATAACATTCATTTTTCTAAGAAGATTCTCATGATTCGGTATTCCTACATTTTCTATATTCTGTCTCACTTTTGTCTCAGTTAATTCTGTATTTCCATCACACATGTATTCTTAAATTTTCCTAAAATGATCAAATATGCTTCTATAATTAATAATATCTTTCTTACATCTATAATTTTCTGTGAAGAAATTTTTTAGTGAACATAAGTTCATTTCCACACCCAATCCCCACACACGCACATTTTAGTTTTTTTGTGGTGACTCCCAGTCTCTTGATCCTATTCCCATTTCGGAGACATGTGTCAACTCACTATCATGTATATAATATGCTATTTATTATGAGTTTTTCACATTAAAGAGTTTTATTAAGACTTGTTTGCAGTACATAATATTTACTTCCACTTTAGAAAGTAGGTGTTTGTGCTTATCACATCTTGATTCATTTTATTCCCCTTACCCTCCCTTCCTTCCTCCATATTGGGTTTCTGATGGTAAAACCCTCACACACACTTCTGTATATCTCTGTATGTATAGAATGGATCAGAATGATGCCAAGATTCTACTTTAATAATGAGGAGATGGAACATAAAATCAACAACAGGAAATAATGTAAAACCAAGGGGAAAATTCAGTAAACACAAGGCTGTGTCCAGGAAGAGATCAACATAACTGCCTGGCCTTTACCTCTCTGTATTAACAAAAATGAAATTACACAATCTAAATTAAAAATAGAACTTGTGTTCCATATAGCAAAAGCTCATGGTAAATAATACAAAAATGGAAAAGTGAATAAACACACTGGACTCAAACAGATGTGTGAAGAAACGTAAAATTCACAATGATTTAGATGGTACATGTCCTTTACAGCTAGTGCTACAAAGGAATGCTCAGTAATTTATGTTACTGCTTTAATTGTCCCAGGCTTGTCTGGAAGGCTGCATTGGATGTGGTTCTCCAGAGCAGCAGAGATAAACCAGACACATAGTGACAGCACACAGAAAGAGACATTTCCTCCGGAACTGGCTCACAGGACCATGGAGGCTGGAAAAACCCAGCTCTGCCGTGTGGGCTGCAGGTGGAGACCAGGGAGCTGGAGGTGCAGGCACAGTTGCAGGCTGACCCCTGGGGAATCCCTGCACTTTGGTGACAGTGGTAGTTTTTGCTGTACAGGCTCTCCTGGTTAATGAACCTCACACACACGATGGAGGGGAACCTGCTCTTCTCAGAATTCATTCACTCAAGTGTTGATCAATTCCTAAAAACTCCACAAGGAGACATATGATCCTCACAGAGGACCAACAGGCTGTCCTACAAGCTCCATTAACAAAGCCCATCCTGTAACTTTTGAGCACAGCCCTACAATCTGGTACGACACAACGGTGAACTCTTAGTCAGGACACAGTCATTTCACCAACATCTCATGTTGCCTCAATAGAGAGTAGAGTTATTTTTTAATTGTATGTATACAAAACATAAAAGAGTGTGAGATTTTGAATTGAAGAAACCTAAATTTTCTTCAGAGTTTTACACTATGCCATGCACGTAGTAAGAAGAAATGGAGCCAAGTTGTCATAGCACATGCACTGGCCATGAAGTGTGAAGGGAACACACACAATGTCACCATCATGGAGGACATGCTGGTAGGACAGGGATATAAAATAAACACTGTGAAGCCTCAAAGTTAAACTTGAGAGGGTAATGCCAGCCAAAACCATGGGCTACAACAAGCACACACCTGTACATGCGGGCTCTGATCTGGAGATTTCAAGGACATACATGGAAAAAGATATGTCAGGTTAGGTTTTTGTGATCATACAGATCAGGTGATACTCACAGAACCTCTGCCCATGGACTGTGAATGTTTTTTACTCTATTTTTAAAACATAGCACATTTATCATTTCATTTATGATTGGCTACCTAAGTGTTCTAAACTGTTGCTTCTCAGGTTGTATTCTGTCTTTCACATGACCAGTATTTTGAATGTTTTCCATTGCTAGAGTATAAAACGATCTCTGATCTCACTTGCTTTGTTTTTGTTTTTCTTGTTATTTTTTGAGACAGAGTCTCATTCTGTTATTTAGGATGGCCTTGAATTTACTATGTAGCCCTGGCTGGCTTTGAACTCATAGAAATCCTGCTGTCTCACAGTCTTAACTTCTGGGATTATAGATTTGCGCCTCCACACACATCTGGATCTCTCATTTAAAAAAGGCAGTAGATGAAAAATTTGTTGACAAGTTTGGAATCCTCCTTGAATGTTTTTTTCAGAAATAGATGAACACCTCACTTACATTATTGATAGTATTGTCCTTCATCTATCTTGGTTTTTGAGACAAGGACCGGGATGTTCCAACACAGAATGTGGTCCCATTTGTGGTGTACTCTGGGGCCATCTGAAGGTCAGGGCCAGGAGGAGCTGCACTGGGTGGGCAGAGCAGGGCCCTCTTCATCCCAGCACATTCACCATCTCTGAGAGGCAGGTGGGGATGAAGCCAGATACCAAGTCTCATATGCCCTTGCTCCTTGAGTATTTCCCTACATCTTCCTCCTGTCTCCCTCTGACTGGTGTAAGGTGAGCTGCTGAGGTGATTTTCCAAACATTCTATTGAGGCTGCACATTTAGAAACTTGAGTCATTATGAAGCCATGAGTCTTCAGGGACAGGGTTCTAAGAGGAAATGTCAGAATGTCTGTACTCCATGAGAGGTCCCAGCATTTTCAGATAGTAGTACACATCTCTGATTACAAAATGCCAAGAATGGGCTGAGACAGAGACACATGAACTCCAAGAAAATTCCCCAAATAAGTTAACTGTGAGAATGTAGGGAATAAGATCTAGAAGTTGTCTATGAAGACTACCCTCAGGGATGAAGCAATACATTTTTAAAAGGCAGTCATGGAGAGGTGGACAGGCATGGCACCAAGAAGACAGAAAGCATAGTTAGAATCTTAAATATTTTTCTCTATCTCCAGGAAGAGCCCAGCAAATACACAATTCTCTGCCTCACTACAAACTCTCCTCTGGAAAGGCACACTTTAATAAATATACTCAGCACATTACAACCCTTTCCGGGCATGGACACTTTCATGTTAAAGTTGCCAATGAAAACTATGCTCAAAATAAACAAAATCTTTGCTCCAACTCAATTTGTCTGTGTGTAGAAGTATCAGTACCACAGAAGATACAGAACAGTGTCATTGGGGTGTTCCTCTCCCCAGTGCAATGGATCATCATGAGAAAAACACTCTCCTGGGAAGGACCAGAACACCCTGCCCTCTGTCCCCCTCTTATACCCTCACTGGCTTCCCCATGAAAACAGCCCCAGGCTCCAGATGAAAAGCCAGCCCTGGATGAGCAGCCCCAGTCTCCTCTCACAGGAGCCTTCATACAGCATGGAGTCCTTGGTGCTGCTCCTCTGCCTGGTGGCGGCTCCCTGCTGTGAGTGTCTCTGAGTTTCAGGAGAGCGAGGGGGGCACAGGGTGTGTGGTGTGTTTGATTGATGGTGAGTCTTCTTGTCTCCAGGTGTCCTGTCCCAGGTGCAGCTGAAGGAGTCAGGACCTGGCCTGGTGAAGCCTTCAGAGACCCTGTCCCTCACCTGCACAGTCTCTGGATTCTCTTTAACTAGTTATCATGTAAGCTGGGTCCGTCAGCCTCCGGGGAAGGGACTGGAGTGGATCGGTGTGATATGGAGTGGTGGAGGTACAGTGTATAACTCAGCCCTTCAATCTCGAGTGAGCATCGCCAGGGACACTTCCAAGAGCTAAGTCTCACTATCATTGAGAAGCCTGAGATCTGAGGACACAGCCGTGTATTACTGTGCAAGAGACACAGTGAGGGGAAATCAGTGTGAGCCCAGACGCAATCCTCCCTGCAGGGGCGTCCGGACGACAGGGGGCAGGCAGGACACACTGAGCTCTTCTCGGGCCAGGACCAGGTGCAGGATCCTGGGTCTGCTTTCCCGTTAGAGTCTGTGGTTTTCTCTTCCTGTCCCCAACTTTGCTAAAGAACTTCTTCAGTGGAGGCTTCTATAGACTTTGGATTTTTAAAAAATTTACTTTCTTTCTTACGAGTACATGTTTGCAGTACAGCCAGTTTACAACCAACTTCAGAACTGGGTGCATGTATAGAGTGCAGCTTGATCCTTTAAGGAATCTCCATCCTATTCACCATTAACTTGACTCTTCCCTCCTATAAATCTCCTTTCCCCATTTTAGTTCATTTAGTTCATGTTGACATTATTGAATTTATCTCATGTTTATGACATATAAAATTTACATTCATTTTTCAGGTTCATGTACATGGCACGTACATATCCTAATTATTTTCGTGTCTCCTATTTTTTCATCTATGTTCTCCTGGACTCCTTCCCATTTGTAAGAGATCTACCTATTGCCTTGTCTCCTTCTAGCCATTCTTTACTGTGCTTTATGTTTATATTTTGCCTCACTCAAATGAGAAGTACTGTATGGTATTTAAGTTTTTGTGTCCTATCATTTTTCACAATATTATATTTTCCATGTGCATCCATCTCCCTACAATGTCTCAAATCCATCCTGCTTCGTAGCTGAGTAACATTCCACTAACTCTCAGTGCCACATGCATCCTCTGTTGATGGGCATACAAGCTGCTTCCGGAATTTAGCTCTTATGCACAGTGCTGCTATAAACACCGGTGTGCACATTTTGCTGTAGCACGATGTGCTTCGCTCTTTCGGGAAGATACCTGGAAGAGAGAGAGCTGGGTCCTATGGAATTTCAAATGTGAGCTGTTTAATGAATTTCTGTCCTGAGTTACGCAGTGGTTGTACCAGTGTACATTCCCAGCAACAAAGAAAGAGCGTCTTGTTTTACCTGCAGCCATGGCAGAATTTGTTACTAGTAGATTTTTTTGATGATGGCAGTTCTGTCTGGCCAAAGATAGAATGTTAACATTGTTTTAGTTTGAATTTCTCTGAAGGCCAGGAATGTTTAATTCTTTTTCTATATGCGTTGGCCACTTGTATGTCTTCCTATGAGGCGTACCTGTACATTTTACTTGCCTGTTTCTTGACTGCGTCTTTTCTTTTAGGCGATCTAATCTTTTTGAGTTTTTCATACAGTCTAGGTATCCTCTCTTTCCTCTCTCTGAGGAAAAGCTTGAAATAAATTCCTCATCGTGTCCATTGTTTCTTCACTCTGCTAATTCAGTGTGGAGATGCTTTTTGATTTGATGTGATCTCAGTTTGTTAATTCTTGGTGTTACTTATTGTAGAATTATGGTCCTGTTTAGGAAATCTCTCTTAAATCTATCACTTAATGTTTTCTAACTACTTCTTTATCCAGTAGGTAAATATTTGTCCTTGCTCTGACAATGACAAAGATTGAAAGAAAGGCTGCTCTGATCCAGGCTCCGCATGTTCCAGATTCCATTGCGCAAATTCCTATACGCGGTAAAATCACATTCAACTTCAAAATCCCAAAATAGGATTATTTTCTCAGTTGCTTTTAGATTATCTCCTTGCAGAAAAAAAATGAGCCATGGGTGCACACATTCCCAGTTTGCACAGCAAAATTCTGCCAATTGTAACTCTTTTCAGGTCCTTTCCATGGACAGTAAACTGCGCTGCTTTTCAAGTTTTCGTATTTTTTCTTTTATTTATTTTTCATTTTTTGTGCCGGGGATTGAACTCGGGTCCTAGCGCTTGCAAGGCAGGCCACGGAAGAGCTGAGATAAATCCCAGGTCCGTATTTTTTCTTTTAAATTAAGATACATTTTCATTAATTAAAAATTACATTGAACCCGCTGCATTAGTGCGGAGTCTTTGCATTTCAATGATCTTTAGAACCCTTTGTCCCCAACCCATCACCACCTCCTTGCCCAAGGCTCTCTCTGCGGACTCCGCTTCTCTGTATCTTAACCGGTCTCCATAATTTTTTTTGAATTATTTATTGTTTTGCCTTCTCATATTAGAGAACCATGCAGTATTTACACAGAGGAGTCTGATTCCTTTAACAGCATGATGGTTCCATAATCCACCCATTTCCCTTCAAAACACTCAAATTTATCCTTCTTTAGGGCTGACTACTGCTGCTTGTATTTAAATACCATTTTATTTACTCTTCTGTTGAGGAGTACGTAGGCCATTTTGACGGTTTAGCTATTGTGGCTTGTGCAGCTGCAAATACGGATAAGCGCATATCATGATAATACAATGACCTTAATATTTTGGAAATTTATCCAGAAGAGGTAAAGCTGAGCCAAACAGAGGTTTTATTTTTCATTTCTGTTTGTTCTATTTTTGTTGACCCAGTAATGAAAAATTTAGAGTTCTAAATGACGTGAAAACTGTTTATTATATGGAGCCCTACGATTCACTAACTGTTTGCCTTTCTATTAGCAGTTAAGAGCATTTCTCAAGGGTTAACTCAAATAACTTTATTGTTATCCTCCTGTGTTAATGCTGTGAACTTTGGGTCTGTTAGGAGGTGAGACAAACAGGACAGAATGGTTGACGTAGCTCACAGACCATCAGAGCAGACCCGAGCTGTTGAGTGTATGTCCCTTTCACGACACACTTCAGGCCAGAGCACCTAGATCCACCTCCTGTGTACAGCATGTCTTCCCCTGGGGATTATACCCTGGAGGAAGCCTAATCTGAATTCCATATCTCTGCCTCTGTTCTAAGATAAAAATGAATCAGAGATTTGGAAACCTCTGGAGGATAACACAGGGGGAAAATTGAAGGCATGGGCACAGGCAAAGACTTCCCTGACAGAAGTCCACTACCACAGAAATAATTTCACCAATCAACAAAAGTGACTGTATCGTATTAGATAGCTTCTGTACAGCAAAGCAAATTCCCCTCACAGTGAAAAGATAAACATAACAATGGGGAAAATGCCAGGTACTCTTCTAAAAACTTCTTTAAAACCTACATGCTAAAGGGGCAGGGCTTTAGCACAATGGTGCAGCTGCCTGCCTTGCAAGTTCAAGGTCCTGAATTTGATCCCTGCCCCCCCAATATGACAACAACAACAACAACAACAACAACAAATGACAGCCTAAAGAAATAATAAATGACTCACTCAAAAAATAGACAAGAAAATTAGACAGTTTTCAAGAGAATGAAAGATAAAAGGATAAGTAGTTATGAAAAAAATGTTCACTATCTTTAGTAATTAAGCAATATACATCAATACTATTCTGAGACTACGTCTTCATTCAGAATGCCTATCATCTAGGATACAAAAGGCTACAAATGCTGGTAAGAATGTGTGGAGAAAGAAAACCTTCCACAATGATTTTTAAAAATGTAAACAAGTGCAATATCTATGGAAATTAGTTCAGAGAATTGTCCAAAAGCTCGAAATACAAATTGCATTTGATTCAATGATACCAATATGAGATATATTTCCAAAAAAGTTAAAGTCTTGTCACCAAGAAAAGGAGGAAGAGAAGGAAAGGGAGAGGGAAAGAGAAGTAGGGGGAGAGGAAGGTAGAGGAGGGGGAGAGAGGCTGAGAATAAGATGTAATCCAGTAGCCAGGTCCTCATGACCTACTTAACTCAAAGGAGTGCTGGGCTGCTAACAGCCCACGCAGCTAAGACCACATCAATGGACTAAACTATTGAAGACGGTGCTGCCCACAGGATCTGGTCACCTCTCTAAGCCCTATGTCTGAATATCGATGCACTGGGCTCCAGGCTTCTCCTCTCCTCCTCCCTCTCCCCCTTCTTCCCCTTCCCCTTGCATTTCGTCCTCTTCCTCTCCTCCTTCTCCTTTTCCTTCTCCTTCCCTTCTCCTTTCCTCCTCCTCTTCATCCTCCTCCACCGTGCAGCTGGGCTTTGACTCATGTTCCCCACTTGACAGAGAACAAGGATGGATGTGAACTTCAGAGCTGAACACAAAGTGAGTTGTTGAAGTGACTTCAGCTCTGGGATGTGATGGACACTGTTTTTTAGAGGCGTCCAGTTCCTATTTTCTATTGATGTTCAGTTCTTATTTACTATTGTGTATATTTGGATTCAATAAAATGTTTTCAGGTGCAAGGCAGCAAAGTTCTTTGTGATTCCTTGAAACTGAATCTGTATAAGTGCATTAGAGAAAAGAGAGAGAGTCACTGATGGCAGAAGCAAATTATCAGTGCCGTTAATTCGGACTAAATGGGAAATTTATAATTCTAGGAGGTCCAAAGAGCTCACGTTAGTACAGAAAAACAAACCTCAGTACAGAAGGGAAATGTATTTTGACAAGGGTAAAAATGACACTACACAAGTATAAATATTTACTTTGATTCACAAAAAATGGGAAGAAAGTTTGAGATGAAAATGTATTTTCTCCATGGAAACTCATGAACGTAGATTTGTATAAATGCATCTCACACATACAAGGAAACACTCACGTCAAATGAGTGACTCAAAGCCTGTAAAATTGACATTTCCATATTTGAGAAGATTTGCTCAGAATTTAATGGTACGACCAAGTTCAGTTGTGGGCCCGAAAACTTTTCATGATGTCCTACTTTCATCGTTACTTTTGTGAGTGGAAAGGGGACTAAGAGTTGACAGAAGCAGGGAGAAAGAGGATGGGAAAGGGATGAACAGCAAAAAGGAAGAATGAAGATGTAAATTATACTAACTCCTCGCAGTAAATGTAACGATTACTTATGGCCAATGTGTAGAATACTGATAAGGAACACACATTTAAAAACTTTTGGGATATGCACATTTTAACAATGAGCATACAGAGAAAGGAAATGGACTCGGTTCAGTGTCCAGAAGTCGATG